GTTTTTTATGATATTCTTAGCCCGTCGGCAGTGAAAAGCGTTGCAACGCTTTTGGATTTGGTTCATTTTTCGCAATTAGAATAATTGAGAAAAAACAGAGTGAGCAAATGATCTAAACGTTTGCACACAAGTTATTGGTCTAGACCTACACCAACTGGAACATTATTCTTTAAAACATATTTCTAGACCCGTCATGTCTAAAAACCTCAGTTGAGTCCCTTTAATAAATAAAATATTTTATTAAGAATATTTAAGAAATCGGTTCATTATATACCTAGGAAACTTTATTTTTCGTTTGGAAATTTTGGAAATTACCATTAAAGGAAAAAGAAACGTTGAATAGAAAATGAAAAAGCGAGATACACACGCTCTTGTAGTTTTGCAATGGCTCTAGACAATGTCCACATGCCATGTGCTATAGGTTTTTGGTATCCTAGCAACCACGCGCTCCACCTATACAAATGATGCGGATTCCAGTCACCCGTTAGCTTAGCATAGTCGACCCCGCAGCTTGCTGGCACCTCAAAATCGTCATCGAATCTATAGATGATTTCTTTATCTGAAATCACAGAATGCATTCTCATCTATTTTGTTAAGGCTATAAGCTTCAAGACCATTGTTTAACAAAAATTCTAAAATTAAATAATTATTAAATACATAAAGAGTTTGAGAAAAGTAAAAACTATTTACAAACTTTGTGTAGCTCTTTGCACTTCTTGGGAAATTTTTTTAAAAAATTACCGATTGTTTAAATCTATCAACGTCTATCTTACTTGATTACTTAAGGAGTAATATTAATGCTTGAATGGTTTGTAATACGGTTAATTGTTTGCTTTATGCAAGAATTCATTACTTTAATTATTCGATTATAAAATGTTTATATTTTTAAACGTTATAAACAAAGTTAGTTTAGGAAACTCGAGCATCCATAAACATACATAATTATATAAGACAGTGTTCGTTCGTTTAAAAACATGTAGGGCATGGTCTTCGTTTGATGTTGCTAAATTTAAGCGTTTAATTTTAGATTTATGTGACTGAAAAGCTATTTTCCGTTGGGCAACAAAAAAGGATGATCAATTAATGAAAAAAAATCAAAGTATAAAAATGTTTAAAGTACGTTTTAATATTATTGTTGTTTTGTTATTACTAAAAGTTCTATCATTTAGCTGATCATATATTAATGTAGTGTGTTAACAGTACCGTGGTTTCTTCGTTCTGGTCGTCCTCTCGATTTGCCCTGTTTAGCTCGTGACAGAAGCGTCATCGTGCCTTCCCAGACACACGTGCTACCTACCATAGTTCGCAGGTTAATATCTACCTCTATTCCTCTCTCATTTTGCCTGAAAGACAAATAAAATATCGCATCAAACAGCATCAGTAATTGAGCCGCGTCACGACAAAACCAACATATTGCGTTTGCGACCAGCATGGATCCAGACCAGCCTGCGCATCCGCGCAGTCTGATCAGGATCCACGCTGTTCGCTATCAGTTTCTCTACTTGTAATGGGTTGTAAAGCGAACAGCATGGATCCTGATCAGACTGCGCGGATGGGCAGGCTGGTCTGGATCCATGCTGGTCGCAAAGGCATTATGTTGGTTTTGTCGTGACACGGCTCAATTACTTATTGATTTAAAAGAAATAACGTTCATTTTCATAAATAAGCAGAACAGGTCACCGATCATTGTGATTTTGTTATGCGAGAATTTATAGAGGTCAAGAATTTGTTAACCCTCCCACTTATTCAATCCCTCAAACTAGTTTTGACATATCATAATGCCCTACATAGTCAATCAAATCGAGCGTATCAGCATTTTCAGTGTTCGTTTGAGTGTTCGTTTTGATTTTTTTAAAATTTAAACTGTTTAAACAGCAACATATCAATGGAAATAGAAAATACATACCAACGAATGTGACAATTATTCATTTTTAATCAAATAGACCCACTTTCAATGAATTAGTTTAACATATCAAGTATCGTTGAGTCAATCATATTTGCTCGAGCCTTTCCGTCATGCGTAGGCATACTTCAATGGATAATATCCGAAATTGAAACATATAAGTTGTTCATGTAGTTATAAAATATGGGTTCCTTACCTGTACTGTTTAACCGATAATTCAAGAGTAAATTTCGCTTTCATGTATTCTTGTAAAGGAATCCACTGTTTGATATTCTGCCGGATATGTATCAGACCTTAAAAAACAAATGAGCCGTGTCACGACAAAACCAACATAGTGCGTTTGCGACCGCCATGGATCCAGACCAGCCTGCGCATCCGCGCAGTCTGATCAGGATCCATGCTGTTCGCTATCAGTTTCTCTACTTGTAATAGAGTTGGTAAGCGAACAGCATGGATCCTGATCAGACTGCGCGGATGCGCAGGCTGGTCTGGATCCATGCTGGTCGCAAACGCACAATGTTAGTTTTGTCGTGCCGCGGCTCAAATAAGAATGTCAATCAATTAAATACTCACTGTGCTGGCTGTCTAAATTGTTTCGAATATTCAATCTGCTTTATATGATGATAAACAAACTGTTTTGTAGATAGCAATTGGTGAGTGAATAAACAGAAAACTAGCTTTTAATAACTATTTAACCTTTAAAAAAGGCCAATAAGATCGAAGAAAATATTAAAACCTAAAAGAACGCCCAAATGGCATTGAAGGACACATCTTGTAAATAAAACTGCCACAATAGTTGTCCTCTTTTTTAAAAGCAAGCTAAGTATAAAGAGACTAAACAATTCCACTTATTTTATTTCCGACGACTGGTTTCGACAAAGAAGTGTGACTGCACACGAAAATGGTAGGAAATACTTTACCGATTGGTGAAAGGGCGAACTTTGACGATGTGATCAATGCTATTAAAGGTTTCATGAATAACGTTTCTGCATAGCAAAGTGGTACTTCGCCATCGTTCGGGTTGTACCTGCATAGGGCCTTGTATTTCGCTAAATGATCTTTATCAATCCTGAAAAGAATACATCGTATGTTATAGTCCAACTAATTAGACTTGTCAAAGAGACACCGAGATAATTTTGGACGGGCGCTGTCTTTTTCCAAGTCCAACCACGAACTGCATTTTAATGCACGGACGCTTCCCAATTAGAAGTTGTTGGGAGCGAAAACTAGAAAAGTTCCAAAGAAACGGTCTACATTACCTGAAAGAGAATCGTTTTTTATGCAAGGTTCCAAATTATCATACTTCAAATTCGAACATAAGTCTAAATATTCCACTTTAATTTTTTTAATCCTTGAAAATTATTGAAAGCGGCCATATTGGAAAGCGGTGTCATGGTAAAATTGTAAACACTGGTAAAATCCATGGTGTAACACAGGTATCGGCGGCAATCGATTGTATTTGCCAAGCTTTATTATACAATTTGTTTATGTTATTTATATGAATTGTTGCAGGAATAACTCTTTTATTCACACACAAATATTTCAGCATTAAAAAGAGAATGTGTAAAGGAAATTATGATAATCTTACTTAGAAATTAAATAGTTTATGATGTCCGATGTCAGATCATACTGCATTTAAGTCCGTTTAAATTGTCAAATTAGATATTATTAAGTTGGATTTTTTAACATCTGTAATCATTAGGTGAAATTTCTGAACTACCTTTTTATTTTATAACCCTGCCATGATTTCCCACATACGAAAGACAATGTAATTGTATGTACATCTTAATGAATTATAATTATACTATACATGATGAAGCAAAGAAGAATTTCAATTTATATTACACTCCATATCAATTTCTAGTTTATTATCTTTAAAAGAAATTGAGGACGGTTGTGTATGGGAAGAAGTTCAAAACAACCAAAAATAACTTTAAAACTCTGAAAAAAAATCTTAAAATTTCAAACTATAAAATGGAATTTCAGACAGTCCTAAGTAAAATACAATTGTCGCACAGATTTGACGGGGTTTATGATAAAAACACAGCAAGCGTAAATTTAGTGACCGTTATTTAGATGTTGAATAGCATAACATTGTAAGACAGATGGGAGAAATGTTGGAACGACTGTCGCAAAAGGCACCAAAACCTCTGATACCCATTAAAAATTCCATGTAATCTAGTTCCCGTTGAACGGCACCTCGAATGTGTCACATTGAAAGTTCCATGATTACCGCCGTATTATGTACACATCTGTGGATGTTGATTAAAAAAATCAACATTATTATGTTTAAGTGATCAATTCTGTTTAAACCGGCGAAAGGGAGCACTTGAACCTACCAGAGCCGTCTTTGGCACTCCTGTGTATTTTTTGTTTCGATTTTGCAGTTTCAGGCGTTTTTGGTGGGTTTTTTTGGAGGGTGGATACATGAATGTGGATAAGTTTTTTCTGTTTCTTTACATTTCTTTGCTTGCTTGCCGAACCTTGTATTGATAATCATTATCTGTTTGTTACGATTCGGTATACATGTTTACAATATGATAAACAAGATGAACAAGGAAAGGCGGCGTTCAATGAACGTAAACCCCACACGACACAGGAACATGAACCATTGGCAAGGAGCCCAGGAGGATCCTAAATTAAAACGGGAAAGGGCGCAAGGGAGAGCACGGTCAGGCGTATTACTAAAATGTAACTGAGAAGGAAATCAAAGAAAATAAATAAATGAATGATTAATAGGACCACTAAGTTAACGAGCACAGGGGAAGGGGATAGGAAATTCGGGGAGGAGGCGAAATAAAGAAATAAAACTGGGGGCAAAGGGAAGATACTTACCAAAGACGAAAAAAACAACAAGGGACACAAACAAAAGTGTCACCAAAACAGTATGAAACAGGACCACTAAGTTAACGGGCACAGGAGAAGGGGATAGGAAATTCGGGGGAGGGGGCGAAATAAAGAAATAAAACTAGGGGCAAAGGGAAGATACTTACCATAGACGAGAAAACAACAAGGGACACAAACAAAGGTGTCACCAAAACAGTATGAAACAACAAGACATACACCTTATACATTTATAAGTCTCTTAATCTGTTCATTTGAAAATTCTGATCTTCTCAATGACTTTTTTTTAATATCCTCTACTTAAAATTTATTTCAATTAAAATATGTGACCCTTCCTTTATAGTTACACAGCATATGGCTGGATCACAATAAAGTTCCTTTTTAGTAAATTAATAGAGTATGTCAAGAAGACATTTAACTTAATCAATAGGTTTAATATGGTATTATATATCGGCAATCGGTGAAAAAGAGCTCTTGAAATATTATTTGTACAAATACTGAATAATTTGAAGTGTATTTCAAATAGTTTCCTTCAATATTTCTTGTACGTTCTTAATTGTCATATAAATATGCACGTATAAATGAAGTCAGTATTTTATCCGAGAGTGACATTTGGCAGTCATTAGCAGTAAACAAGAAGGCAAACCACTAATTGATAAATGTTGAGTACAAATGTACATGTATTAAAATATTTAAAAAATATTAAACAACAGTACTTGTACGGAGCCTATTTGCGACCATTGCATTTTAGGTTAAATTCAATGATACTTTTCAATAGTATTTAATAATGCATACATTTATTAAAAAATTATGAATAGATTTATTTCCCCCGATATTTTTTTTTAATTTAATCTTCATGCGTAACCCACACTTACCTGCTATACACACTGGTAGCTACTACCAGCTTTCACAGAATCGATTTTTTACGATGACGTCATAACATGTCCGCCGAAGATAGAGTAGACAGTACAAATTTGAAATAAATTGCATGTATGCGTTAAGACAGGTACAATCTAATATTTTTTCTAGGAGAAGTTAGTACTAAAATTTATATTCTATTGATCTTTAGAGGTAATTGAAGTTACTTTCAGGTTTAAGCAGTAAAAATCAGTCCAAACTATCGATAGTGTTACCGGTAGATTTTCCGTGCATAAAAATGAAAGTTAAAATTAGGCGTAACGGTTTGACAGTAAGAAAAAAAAGTCTGTAAAATGGGTCAAACCGTTCACGCCAAATTAATTAGGCTACGTATGTTGTTAGTAAGACATAATCAAAAGTACTTTAATCTCGTTGAAGGCTTACCATTTTTGCTTGTGTGCAACATTTATAAATATCAAATAAATGGCTTCATGATACATATACGTCTAGTTAAACACGATTCATGTAGACAAAATATCAAACCTACATGAAGCCAGGGTCTTTCAAATAGAAAGACCCTGATGAAACGAATCAAAAACTAAGTTTGTTATAATATAAACATGACATTTTATCAATTTTGCATATTCATTTACATAAATTGATATTCGAATGCAATATCCGTCAAACGTTTAATTATCAGTTCAAAGAAGAAGCTCGCCTTCTGTACTTTAGACTTTATACTGAAGTAAATGACTTTCAAACAGTAAATTGTTCATGCATAAAATTTATATTAAACTTAATGCAAAACGATTTATAAAATTTTAAACCCTACCTTAAACCGTTGACTGTAACCTTGTGATTTCTAACCGATAACGCTAATGTAAAGTTTGTATTAGTGTCAGCAATGTACACAAGGCTTTTATCCAAATACAAATTTCCTTGTTTGCGACATTTCACAAGTTTATAAACAAGTTTGATAATTAGTTTATACCAGGCTAACTTTGAAATACTATCGTATACATCAGTCTCTTTTCCACATATCACAAACACAATTAAACCAATGAAAAATGCTAAAATAGTTAAGATGATCATCGTTAATATACACATCATAAATATCCGGATGCAAAACCGAAAGTGGTGTCTACTTTCGGTTTGAAATTGATATGTTTACTACGCGACTATATTCTCGTTTTAATGCGCTTGATTTAAGAACGAGGCTAGGTTCTCGAATAAAATAGCCAAGATGAAATTGGTTTTAAGTCACTTAAGATAAAATAATAGATCTGATAAATATGGTGAAACATGTATTTAGACGGTTAACGCACCGAAATCGGATATAACAATGATAATTAACGGTGCATTTGACATGATGGTTACAAAATGTATTGCATTTTGTAAGAGTAAATTAGAAGATTGTCACGAAAAACTGTTATTTTTTCTCTTTCTCAATCTGATTTCTGGGTGGTCACTAAACCAGAGGACACAATTTTCATGAAATCTAAATAGTCTCCAGAAAACAACAACATGTTTTATAAAATAATATCAACAATATCAAGTCATCTTGTTATGAGGCAAATTAAGAATTTGACTCTTCGCATGAATCACTGTTTTGTTTCATTAGTAAACAATCATATTTTTCATCATAGATCGTATGGCCAATCTACACATAATTTGTTATTTATCTAAACTGTGTCTGGCCATATCACACCACCTTGTCTATTTCGTTCAGACAACATATTAATCATAATTGAGCCGTGTCACGACAAAACCAACATAGTGCGTTTGCGACCAGCATGGATCCAGACCAGGCTGCGCATCCGCGCAGTCTGATCAGGATCCATGCTGTTCGCTATCAGTTTCTCTACTTGCAATAGGGCTTGTAAGCGAACAGCATGGATCCTGATCAGACTGCGCGGATGCGCAGGCTGGTCTGGATCCATGCTGGTCGCAAGCCCATTATGTTGGTTTTGTCATGACGCGGCTCATATTAATCATGTTTCTACGACCTGTCGAGTTCACTCAAAGGCTAGGAACATCTTAAAGCTACATGCCCACAGATGAGCCAAAGTAATTAATAAAATGAGAAAAATGTATTGAGATTAAAGGAAAAGAAAACGAAAGTAAAAACGATTTAAGTAATAATTTACATGTTATGTGTAATTATTGACTCATTTTCAGTATTTACAACTAAATTTCTACTGCGGTACAAACGTTTTTTTGCATATTTTGATCTGATTTATTTATTTATAATTATTTATTTATTTATTTACTTTTTTGGTAATTTACCGTGATTGCAAGTAAATTGCTTTCCACTGGTTACCTCGCAATATTATACCTCTAAATACATTTTTCAAAATTTCATAAACATTAGCATGAATCTGGAATTGTGCTGCTTTAAATGAAACAAATACAGAAAAGTAGATAATCGGACGTCAAACTAAATTATTTTGATTTATTGTCCATACCATGTAATGAGTATTTACTATTCATGTTTTATACCATATGATGTATTATTGAATAATTTCTATTCGATTAGTCCCAGCCATTTCCATGCTTTACATCAAATATTCAAAATTATTTGAGAAAATATTGTATGTATGATTCTGTCCTTTGAATTAATATATTAGCTATCAACAAAACTTTCCTAATATTTGTTCGAAATAATTTCATAATTTCAAACCGTATTTTACTTATATGCAATGTTAAGACATGATTCCGATTATAATGTCCATGCCGTTTTTTGTTGCTGTTGTTTTTGTTGTTGTTGTTGTTTTTCTTTCTGACTTTTTGTTTGTTTCTTTATTTGATTGTTGTGCTGTTTTCATTTTTGTGCGGGTTGTTGTTTCTTTTTAAACGCTTAAAATATATTTTTAACATCAAATTATTTAAGTTTTAACACTTGTAGTAACTCTATAGAAAGTAAAATGTTATATAAAATTGATGTCATATTAAGACAGAAAATCATTAACAGTTTACTGTAGCATTATGATGCGGCAATTCATCATGCACAGCTGTAACGGTTATTTGCATGGAGACAAATGTTGAAGGGAATTGTGGTAAAATACAATGTATATGATTTTGTTCTATAGAAATGTAGAAGTGTACAAGGCTGCTTCAGAAACGGGATTGTATTATTTCGTGTTGTGTTGAGATACGTTCATTCCATTGCATTTCACTGCACTGCACTGCATTGCACTGCATTTAAGTGTACTGTTCTGTATTGTATTGGGAAAAGTTGTTAGCACATGTATAACATTGATTGATATTATCTATTAAGGTGCATAAAGCTAACTTGAAATGACAAAAACAATAACTTGATTAGCAACAGAAAGTTTGTGTTTTACTAGACTTAACGTTTCTTATTGAGAAAAAAACAACAACACGGAAATAAAAAAACAACAACAAATAACAACAAAACAAATAAAGAATCAAAATGCAGTCCAACAAATCTAGATCGTATCAGTTCCACAAACGTCAGGTCGTTACGACCAGATCAATCATAATTCTATTGCTATGGTCAAAATATGCATTTATAACAAAAACAAATATATCAAAATGAGAAACAACATCTGCGTAGGAGTAAAATGTATTTTACGTCTGCTTGATAATGTATCATATTAATACCAGAACAAATACCTCTCTGAAACGAAATGCAAAACGTGCACAATAAAGCCTTAAAAGAATTAATCATTTTAGAGAATTGCAAACCTATGACAGGTAAAACGTTGAAGTAGTATGGCAAGTAATGCTACATGGATGTGACACACCGACTTATGCGCATAAACTTTTGTAATGTTTGCTGTTTGTATTTACATATCGTGATATGTTACACTACATCATAGTTGTAAAGAATGAAACGGAAGAAACAAACATTAGAATAAAACGTAATTAAAGATACTGCTAGATCACTTTGCCGCAAAGTAGCTGTAATCGTCTTTGCAACTTATACCGTGATTTCACCTTATTTCATTTGTGAACGAAAACACTTACTGCTCAAATAAGGAACAGTTAACTATTAAATAACATTTCAACGGCTGTGAAAATTATGGCACACTGTACACTAGAACGTCTTTTTCTGGGATAAATTTGCAATCGTGAATTTACATGAAAAAAAAGACATTTGCCTTATTAAAATTATCAAAAATTTTGTCTTTCATTTTAACACTAATTGGCATAATGGTCTGATGATCACGTTGTCCAGTCCATGCCCTTTTACAAGCGCGAAGGATATTGCGACGATATTTTTTTCTCACGCTTTTTTGTATTCGGATCATGAATGGAGAAACAAACATTAAGTCCGATGCTGACTTTTACTGGAAGTACTTTCATAGTTGAATATGTGTCTGCTTCGATGACAATATATGTAAATTCGAGCAAATATATGCATATGCATGCTAGTTCACATTAAATAAATGATGATTCGTGAATCGACTTTGCAAATATTATGCCCTTTCTCTTGTTAGTGATCAATACGTCATTTCCTTGTCTGATATAGATATAGCTAATACAGCTAAATTGGTTTGCCAAGACTTATTTCTTTTTCGGACTGATTATGGATACTGTACTACACACAAATAATTGGTCCTTTTAAAATGTTTTAAAAGGTACAATTACACAACAGGTTTATACAATTACTCGAAACTTTGGAAAATGATACATGTCTTGCTTACAAAAAATACCAGCTAGGAAAGTTTTGATACTTTCATCTTGCTCTGATTTTAGTATAAACATATTTATTTAAGTTTAATTGCGAAAGAAGTTCTTGAAACTTATATTCATCACTTTTGAGCCCGCTTCCTGAAACCAACCAGTGCTGGTGTCATATGAAAAAACATGGTCGTGACCCGAGTCGGGTACGAACCCATGATCCCTGGGTTGAGAGGCGGAAACATTAACCACTAGGCCACCGCTCTGAATTTAAACAGTTGTAACATACTGTTTTGTGCTTGTTGGTCTTTAATTAGAACTTTAAGAGACATTACAACTGTTAGATCACGGTCATTTACTGTTCGACAATATTGACATGATATATTTGAATATTATGTGCCAGTACAGCATAGGACAACCTAATCGTATATGTATTACACAAATCACATACAAGTTATCTTTATAATTTGATTCTATTTATGTTTATATATCGTTTATGCCGGTTGTTTACTAAATGAGGGCATTGCATTTATGTTTACTTTGAGACCATAGGCTGCTTAACAGATGCTGCTCGTTACAATTTTGCCGCGGTGAAGGTCTCTGTCTCACCTTTTTAATCGAAAATCGTATACTAGTATGTATTGAACGATTTGTTTCATGTCGCTGCATATATGTTTCATAACATCTTAGTAAAACGTGTTAAAGAAAAACATAGAATTATATATTGATGACTGTATATTTTTTCCAATAAAAGATATATATGATTAGGTCATCGTAGGTTATACGTTTAATTGAGTCTAATAAATGCAAATTAATGGGTATGCCAATATCAAATTATGTTTGTTTAATCCTTAGGTAACATTATAAGATTAAATCTGAACTAAGTTTTTCCTTAACTAGTTTTGCTCATGCAAAGAGCAGTCTAGAAAGTTCGGTAAAATAATTACATGGTAGAACGCTAGTTAAAGCCTTATTGTATCGGAACACGTATAGAAAAACAAAAGAAATAGCTGTAATTTGGAAAGAATTATTGTTTATTTTTGGAAAATTATATTTCTTCAATCAATGTTTTTTTTCTCAAGTTTATGAACAAAGAATTTCCATTTCCCTTACATTGCTTTGCTTTGTTCAGTAAGTCTAAGTACTCGAGACGAACTGCTAATTGATTAGCAGCGAAACTTATTCGGTTTCTTACTTTCTTGAAAATCGAAGTTGATCATTTTGAAATCAGTAACATGTATAATCGAAAATATTTTTTATCGTTTTAATTTGGTAACATTAAGATACAAAATTTAATGAATTATATATTATAGCTGGAGATTCGGTCATATTCTACGTTAAACGTTTTCACATATTGCAATCTGCCTACATGTTCTTATAAGAAATGCAAATCGACAAATAAAATAAGGACCAAAATTGAGCAGTGGTATATAATAGCTTTGACAAACAGAGATAAAATTATTGTTAGAATTAATTATTGAATGTATCACACTGCTAGTTAATAAGCTAA